CTATTAGAACAGATTGTTTTCCTTAATATTTTAATATCTGTTCCATAGTACAAACTACAAAGCAAGATTCAGGAGGTACAGAAAATCAGATACTGAGATACCAGTACTCAATGGTTCCATGTTGCACTGGTTAATACATCCAGAGAGTTAAGTTCATGAAAAACCTATTATCAAGAATGAAACAGAAGCAAGAAAAAATGTAATTGAATGTTGCTGTAGCATTGGTCTTCAGTTAACTGAAAACCTTTATGATCCTGCCTCCAGAGTTTATACCTAGAGCCAGAACGTAGTTTTTCAGAGATAAATTGGGTAATCGGAAGAGCTGTTTAGAAATTGGGAGTTATTCTCAAAAAAGCTTAGCTTTTCCCCAAGAAGCCTTTTCTTTTGATGAAATACCCCAGCGGTCACTCTAAATCATCATGGATGTGTAGATTTATGAGCTCTGTAGGGCTTCAGCCTTTGAGTTAGCGAATAGCATCCTGGTGCAGCCAAAGAGGCATTGATGATACTGAGTGATTTGGGTTTAAGGCATCTTTTTCAGATGAAAACTTTTTAAAATCTGCACGAAATGCTCATCTTTTGAGCTAACAAAATCTTACAAGAAAAGGTCTGTGTTTTGATTTCCACACAACCCCTGCCTGAGCATGCAAATGTTGTGAATAATCTCAGGCATGTGTCAAGAACTTGGCCCACCATTAGTTGGGGGGGGGAGAGAATCAATATTTGGATTAAGCCCTTAAAATGCAAAGTGGAAATTTAGAAAACCTTTTTGCTAAGTAGACATGCTGTGTCCATCTTGGTAACGTTACCCAGCTACATGTATTGTCCTCAAGAAAAATGAATGGATGTAGGAGAAAGAATGGAACAGTCTTGTTCAATCTTCACTGCCACTAGAAAACAAAAGTTTTAAAAAGATATTTCAACAAGTCTCACAAGGACCTATATCTCTAAATGCATCTCAGGGAACATTATCCTTGGCATTTCTTACCCAAATGAAGGGAGATTGATCTTGACACTTTACTTTTGAAATACAGAGAAAGGGCATAAGTTACACGACATAAAACATCATAAAAGCTGAATTGCACAATATTAACAATTTCAAAATAATGAATAATGGCATATTGTTTCTCAGAAAGGTTTACATGGGTTTTCATGTTTCCATGCTTGCTTTTTAAAATATTTAGAAATGAAAACATAGCTTGCCTCTGTAATAAAAAAAATAGCAATGTATTTTTGCATATTAAAGTGACTGCTTCTGCGGGTTCTCTTTGTAGCTGTACCACCCCTTCCACCAAAATTCAGCAAGCTGTAAGGTGCCAATATCATCTAAGCTAGGTAATATGGTGTAGTAATTCATGCTCTAGGCAGGATCAGGAGAACATCTTGAAATTGGTCCTCAACCATGGAAACTTACTGAGTAACTTTAGGCCAGTAATTTGTTGGTTTGTTTTTTAACAGTTGGGCTTATCTAGCAGTTCTATTTATCTCTCTCTCAATCTAACTGCCTGAGTTTGCTACTTGAGGGAATGATACATGGCATTTACTTCTTCAGATAATTTACATTATTGTTTCAATTCTCAGAAGAAACTATTAAATACCTATAAGGGATGATAACAGTAACTCTATTAACAAACTGTTTCACTTCAAAATATACCTCTCAGCCTCTTCTAGAGTGATTCTGGAAATACCCCTTTGTGGGGAAGGTTGTTGAGAAGGTGGTGGCCTTTCAGCTCCAGCGGTCCTTGGAGGAAGCTAGCTATCTTGA